CACGCCCCTTTTACAATGCGAGTTAGTTGTAGTACGGCGTGTCATGACTCTGTCTCGCTCGGGAGTTGTTTCTCGTGACAAATACGCGTCTTTTAAACGTGCGATTTGGAATGTCGCTTTGACTGGAAATCTTCCAGGATGTCATACGGGAAGCCGTTCATGTTTTTCATTTGGGATGCGTGGTTGGAGAACTTTTTATTGATTTTTTTCCCAGAAGGTCTGGACAGTCAACAGAATAGATGGTGGCCACCATGAAGAGCGGCGATGTCCAAACTACGGCCCGCCATCCAGTTTTCAGTGGCCCGCGGCATATATTAAAAATGACATTTGACACAGCCCGCAAGGCTAGTTTAAAAAAAAAAAAAAAAAGAGGGTGGAGTTGGCAGAATGACAAAGCACGGTGTTGAAAAAAAAACATTAGGTGCCACTTCTCCTAATACATCGTTTCACAATTCTGAACGGCTTTTCTAGACGTGCAAAGATACAAATGAACGAGTAAATTCACAACTAAAAGAAGACAATGTCTCTTCAAAACACTGACGAATAAAGGCAATTCAATTTTAGAAGCTTAAATGACATGAATCATTCTCACGTAAGTGTTTTTAAAAATGGTCCGCCGGCTATACACTTTGCTCTTGTTTTGCTTCGGAATGTGGAAATGGGATTCGGCTACTGGTCGGTGCAGGTGGTGGATCTCGTCCAGTGAGATCCACGGCCGTCGGCCCCCCTAAAATCATTTTTAAAAAAATCCCAAGCAATTTGCTTGATCACCTTTAAGGGAAAGCTGCTCTGTAACAGTTTTCCAAAGTAACTAGAAAATGTTCTCAATATATCATCGCTCGCTTGACTGATTTTCGCATGTTTAAAGAATTAAAGTCGACGAAATTTGAAAGAGCATCCTTGCATTTTTATGAATGCGGCCCTCAAATGAAAATGTTTCGACACCCCTGATGTCGAGTATATCAAGTTGATATTGAAGCGCAAATTTCTCGGCCTACATGTATTGGTACACTGAAATAAAAGCACTTGTTTCTTGTTGTGGCTTTGAAATTGCTCACTCAACATCAACGAGCGCAACCCGACAGATTTGGTCGAAGCCTGGGATTCAGAAAGAGAAACTCAAATGTTTTCTTTAACACCCTGAAAATTTGCAAAATCCGTGCACGCAAATGAAAATCGAGCGATGCAAAATTTTCTGGGGCTTGGAAGTGTCAGAAAGTTGTTCTTTTGCACCTCATCTGTCTGATTCTGCACCTGAGTTGAGACAAACCAGTCCGTCGGGTTGTCGACGTAAACTGTGACGGCAGCATGACAACCGACGGATCAGGTTGCTCTGAAACCTGACGTGCTCCCGTGGCACACTGTGTTCTCCTTTCTCGATAGTGAATTTCGTTTTGGGGACTGAAGTGTACATCCTGCCTTGTTTTAGTTTGTGAAAAAGGCACACCAAACCTTGAAAGTCCTTCATTTTTATATTTGTAGACCATGACGGGGTTTGTCACTGTCAATCCGCATAACCTTATTCATCCACCCACATTTTTTGTGTTTGAAGCATTTTAAAACTGTACCCATACGTAGCATAGATTCTGCACTTAAGACGCTGCAAAAGTGCGTCCCCGTGCCTCCGCGTCAGGTCTCCCACTAAGCTAGGCAATGATTTACTTTTCACAAACTATTCTAGCGACTTTATTTTTCTGTTTCGTTCATGTTAGGGGCCGTTGGCCGTTGTTCATCACTTTGGCATTGCGTTTTAAGCTGAACCAATCAGAGGACAGAATAATACCACCGTCCATCTGAGGAGTCGTGAGGCGTGGAATGGTGAATCCAAAATCGGATCGTTTCAAGAAAAAGCCACGGCGAGTTCAGCCGTATTTGACGACGCCAGCGCGTAGGGTTCTGAAGGCGTCGGGTGAATAATATTAGCATGGCGACACATCCAAGTCTGATTGGGAGAAAAAAGTAAACAAAAGACTGGAAGCTGCGCAACCAAGGCACGCTCGGAAATGAGGGCAAAAGACTGTTGGAAATAAATTCTTCCATTTCATCTAAGTTATGAATGCGCTTCCGGTGAGCATTTATTAGTTTGTTTGTGTCGCTGTTGCGGTGTGTGATCTATCATGTGACGTCTTGGTGTGAAAGTCTCATGGGATCCGTTGCATCGTTGCGTCCTACTGATCACTGATCAAAAAAAACTCCTTTTATATATCTTCTATATATTTTGGTTTGACTTCACTATCGTCCTTGTTTGGAACACAGAGTGAATTGTGATTGATAGCTCCATGTTTTCGCTCCCTTTACCATTCAAGTCTACCAGGTTATTATTGGCCAGTGGCCTACATGCGTTGCGGCGCGGCAGTATAAGACTTGGACGACATTGCGCCCGAACACGCCTTGTTTTCAGATCAACACAGCCAGCACCACACAGGTGGGCACTTAAAGTACAAACATCACGTGTGCCCGGCCAGAAAACAGTCGGATTTATGGCATATTAGAAACAGAAAAGTCAGCCTCGTCTTGTCTGTACAGAGACATTGTTCCACTATGTGCTCTAAAAAAAAAAATTGTGACTATGACAATTTTCTTCCTTTCTTTTTTTTTTTGTTAGCGTTTCTTCAAGCTAGGCGTTTTGAATTGAAATTGTTTTGTGGAACATGATGATTCAATTTTTTTATTTATTTATTTATTTTTTGCCTGGTGTTATACAACACCAACTCAGACGAGACGGCGACATTCGCTACCTTCGCAAAGGTTTGCCGCTGCGCGGGATAGCGGAGCCAAATAGCTTTTGTGACAAGTGACTCAAGCCGAACTCTGTGTCATGGTTTGAACGCGCCCCTCAATCTAAATGGGTCCGCTTGACTCACCGATGACGAGTCCTAGATGGAAGTACTCCGGTGCTTCAGGGTCTGATTCATTTTAGTCGGAGTATTTTTATGGTAATGAATGCCACACTTCCTCCACGTTGGGTGTTTTCGGCGGGTCTGTACATGCAAGGGTGTCGAGACAATCATTTCCACCGATTCCAGGAATTGACCTGTCATCATTTATTTATCTTGTAGCACACGTTGCCAACCACTGGTGCGTCCCTTTTAGCATGGCTAGAAACAACCGCAGAATAGAAGGACTTTCCCAAGAATGTAGTGGAAAGGGGAAGACAAGCCCTGTTTGTGCGTCTGCCCTGGAATGCAACAGTGGGCAATTAGTCTTTTGTCCCAGCAGCATATTCCGTGCCAATTAACGTTGCCTCGTCCCATGGAATGCGCACAGGATGTCTGGATGGCTAATCGCACCCGAGCGGCTCGCTTGCTTGTGAAGTAGGCTGCGGCTCCAAAATGGAACGTTCACATGGGCTATCGTAGCATCAGTACATACGCGCGTGTCTGCTACGCGGATCGTACTTCTCTAACAGTAATTAGAGTTGTACCTTTTAGAGAAGTGTAGATGGGCCAGTTCAATGTTATGCTTGATGTAACAGCGCAACACCGAGTGCCTTCTGCAATATTGATCTGTTGAATATGGATTTAAACTGGACCGGCAAATTGGTGCCGTTGTCAAATCCAATTTTTTTTCATCTCTGGCAGCTGGCTAAAGTCAAGCCTCTCCCTTTTTTACGAGCACTTGGAGAGGCAGTCCTTCATGCCTTCGTCACATCTCGGCTGGATGACTGTAATCCTCCATTGAGCGTCTCCAGTTGGTCCCGAATGCTGCTGCTCGCCTCTTCACTGGTGCTAGTAAGAGGGAGCGCATCACTGTAACGTACAGTCGAGTGACGTCACCTGGATACTCATTGTCATGACCACATGAACCGCAAACCAGTCGCAATAGGAATTTAATGCCACCAAAATGAATCCTTTTTTTTGAACTTTCTGAACTACAGTATGAGCGATACACCACAAGATGTATCAAACTCAATGTGCCTGCCACATAATTTAAATACATTGACTTATTTCTACCGAACCTGTTTTGCCAGATGCTTTTGTCGTTTTCATTTTAGCAGCAAATTCATACCGAAACGTGACAAAAATAAACTCGAGAGGCCCCGCGATGAGGACACGTGTCGGAATGGCAGTGCTGCCAAACCACCTTTCACAGCTCCCGTGCTATCCGTTTGTTTGGAAAATACTGACTGAGGAACGAGCAAATCGCTTCCCTTGCATTTCCTTTGCGGCCCATGTTTGTTCCGCTTGATTCACTTGATTTGTGTTGTGTTGACACTGAAGTCAGAGCCCGTGAAGATGTAGCTCGGGAAGTGGCAATTAAGAGCAACATGCAGATGAATGTTTGTAACCGTGGTCGCAGTTTGATCGCATGAGCTCTGAGACCCCAGGGACCGAATCATCTACTTTCTCTTGTTGTTTTTTTGCTCGTCACTCACCCTTTTTACAAGAGAAAATTGAATTCATGAATATTTTAGTTGTCACATATATCCTTTCTTGGAACATTAGAAAGGATATTTTTATTTTTATTCGGACCTCTCCCTAATGTTAATTGGAAATATCACATAGCTGCCGAGCCGGCTAACCTGTAACGTTCAATTTCAAATCGCGGAACTTGGACGGAAGAAGTTGGCGCTCACTGACAACAATTCACTTCACGTTGAGTGTGGGTGTTTGTTTGTTGTGCGCGTTTGCATTCATATTCAGCCACCTGGAAACGAGTGTTTTGGAGAAGAAAAGGCTGCATTGGCCCATTGTGGCAATCGCTGTCGAGCCGTCGATCACGTGACCCCTGTTCGCGGCAGCTCAACTGGCGCGAGCAGAACAAATTCAGCACCTGAAATTGTTTGTAGACTCTTGCATTTGGGCTCCGTTTTAATTGTTCTTCTTTGGCACAGCACTTTAGCACCGTACAGCGTCTGGCACAAATCACAAAAAGTTTCGGATTCGTGGTCACTGCAAAGGATAAAGGCAGCGTTCTCATTCCAATCAATCTCGCAAATTTCCTTCGCCACGATGATATTGATGTCGTTGTCCCTCTTGATGTTCTTCATCTGTCATCAGGACCAGTTCGAAAATCTGGACAAGCACACTCAATGGGGGATCGACTTCCTGGAGCGTTATGCCAAGTTTGTCAAGGAGCGGTTGGAAATTGAGCAAAATTACGCCAAGCAGCTAAGGTACGAAAAGACACAAAAGACACAGCAGGTCGCAGACAATGTACATCCGTTTTACAGTCGTGCAATGTGAAAGTACCGAGGACCGATACAACAAAATAGCGGCGCTAGAAATATTACGATGGCATTAGCACTGCAAGCCAAAGTCAGCTAGCCACGGCTGCTACGTTAGATTTACTGTGCACGACTTGAGTCTGATTAGAAGCCTAAATTTCTTGGTTTGCAGATGTACTTTTTGGAATGTACAGTTGCTTAAAAATCAAATCCTCTCATCTACCTGCGACATGTTTTTTTTTTTTTTTTTTTTCTTTAGACAACTCATGAAAAGACAAAATGGCTTTTAATTTTAATTTATTCACTCTCAAAGACGTTTTTGAAACGCCTTTTCAGACTTGGTCCGGAATTGGCTGGTCCTGAATGAGTTTTAAGATAAAAGCATGTCGATGTTTCATATTACGGTTATAGAATCTGAACCATGATGAAGTCAAATCTAATGTGAGATTAGAATTAGAAGGATTAAAAAAAAAAAAAACTGTCATGTTTAGCTGTAGCGTGATAATCCACACAATTAACTGTCCACTTTGCTGATTGTGGTTTTTTTTTGGTTTTTTTAATTCTCAGGTCAAATGTTAATCCTAAAGCAGAGGCACACTTTTGAATTTGCCAGCAACCAAACTTTGACAAGCAGTTTCATGCCTTCCTAAACCAATAATAAGAATAATAATCCAGTTAAGATCATGTTCCCAATATAACAGCAACCTCATTCACTTCCCTCTCTTCTGCGCCAGGAACTTGGTCAAGAAATACTGTCCAAAACGCTCAAAGGATGAGGAACCGAGGTGAGTCGGCAAACATGTGATTTTTTTTTTTTTTTTTTTTTACTGTAGCAAGAAAAGAATGAGATCACTCGACCGCACATGACCGCAGATCAATTATGTTGATCCCTTGCACACGCGCGCTCGTTTTGCAGGTTTACATCCTGCCTGTCATTTTACGGCATACTGAACGAGCTGAACGACTACGCGGGCCAGAGGGAGGTGGTGGCGGAGGAGATGGGCCACAAGGTTTACGGAACCCTGATGAAGTACAGCCAGGACCTCAAAGCGGAGAGGAAGCACGTGAGTACTGTACACCGACAACGAGCTCATACGTACAAGCCAAGCGACACTGCTGAGCTGAAGCGATGAAGTCGCCGGGTGCCCAAAAAAAAAAAAACAAAACTGTTGATTGTTGTCCCGTTTATGCTTTTCGCGTGTGCCAACCTCTTTGTCCTGCCTCACATTTGTTTTGTGTTTGGACTTACACAAGGGGATACATATGTTGAGCACGATGGTAAACATCTGCCTTTCTCTCCTCCCATGATCTGCTGCTGCTATAAACTCTTCACATTCTTTGGAAGAACATTCCCTTCCCTCAGTGGAATACTTAAGCCACTTTCCAAATTTGTGGAAGAAGAGGCAGGCAGACCTGTTTTTTTTTTTTTTTTTTAAATAAAGATGTCAGCTGGTGGACTATTCTCAAGTCAACTCAGCTGTATTTCTAGAGCGCTATCTACTGAGTGCTGTACATGGAGCAAAAAGAATTCAGATGACAATAAAATAATCAATGAATAACAAAGACAGAAGAAGGCACAAAAACAGCCCAACTAAAAAAATCAAGTCTCATGCGAAGTCAAAAGCCAAAGAATAAAAATGACGAGTTTGAAAGATGGGCAGTGAGGAGGCTTGCCGAACGTTTGAGCGGGAGCTCTTTTCAAAGCGAGGGAGCGGCAATGGAAAAGGCTTCATCCCCTCTCAGCCTTCGCTTAGTTCTCGGTACCTCGAATAGCGTCTGGTCCGCAGACCTGAGACAGGTGCGGAAGAACTCAAAGAGGTCAGGTGGGACGAGACCATTTCAAGATTTGAAAACAAATAATAGGCGCTTCCAAAGAACTCTAAAATGGAGCCAGTGAAGGGATGCCAAAGTAGGAGTTATGCGCTCCTTATTACAAGTATCAGTTGAGAGGCAAGCAGCGGCAGTGTCCTGGACCAACTGGAGACGCTTCATGGAGGATTACACATAATCATTCCTGTATAAATACACTGCACTGCTACACTGTTGCTTCGGGCAGTTAAATATGTGCGTTGTCCATCATGCTGATGTTAATATAACCAGACATCTCATTCAGCAATGTCATTTTATTCGTCACCCAAAAATTGTGGGCGGAGCAGTGCATTTGCTCTTTGTTTTCTTGTATGTTTTGTGTTTCTTGCCTTTTCATATAAATGTTTTGGCGTGTGTGTGTGTGTGTGTGTGTGTGTGTGTGTGTGTGTGTGTGTGTGTGTGTGTGTGTGTGTGTGTGTGTGTGTGTGAGAGAGAGCAGCATCTGCAGGAGGGCAGGAAGGCGCAGCATTTTTTGGATCAGTGCTGGAAACAGATGGACAACGTAAGTAAGGAGAGAAAAATAAGGAGGGTGGGGGGGATTTTTTATTTTTTTGCATGAGATAGGAGGTAACTCTAGGTCAGGGTGTCCAAACTGCGGCCTGGGGGCCATTTGCGGACCGCCATCCATTTTTCAGCGGCCCGCGACATGACAAAAAAAGCCCACGTCATCCTAAAAATGACATTTGACATGGGCCGCAAGGTTAGTTAAAAAAGGTGATGGTGGGCAGAGTGAGAAGGGAGGCTGCGCTGGAGACCTTTTCTCTATAGTCAAAGATACAAGTGAACTATTTGTGATTAGCATGCTAGGTTGATGGAACGCTCTAAAATTGTCCCGAGGTGTGAGTGCGAGCACGAATGGTTTTTGTTTGTCAATGTCTGCCCTGCGATTGTCTGGCAACCCGTTGAGTGTGCCCCCCCGCCCCCCCCTCCCCCGCCTCCTGCCCAAAGATAGCTGGGATAGGCTGCGGCACACCCGCGACCCTCCTGAGGAGAAGCGGATTCGAAAATGGATGAATGGATGGATGGATGGATGGATGAATCACACCGTCATTTGGGATCAAGGCAATGACACACAGTCCCAAATGCAGTCCAGCCCCTCCCTTAGCAAGGCACATGTGCCACATTTGGCCCTTTTTGGCTTTCAAAATCCCCCGGAGAGATTCCATTTGCTCATTTCTGAGGTCATTTAATTGGATTCACCCAGTTAGCAGAACACCAAGCAATTTGCAGACCCGTTAAGACAATGTGGGCAAAGCATGGACTTCGAATTCTCATTGCAAATTGTTGGCTAATTCACCGAGTTGGCCCTGACTCCAGTCAAAGTGTGTTTGTGTGTGTGTGTGGGCTGTCGGGCCTTGCTAGTGGCCACCATGTGACCTGATAGTAATGTCTCAGCTATTCACCGTGTTTCCTCCACGACTAACGTGACCCAGATGGCTTGCCAGGAAGTAAACTATCGCCGTCTGATTCAGATCACTTTCTTTTTCTGTGGCTTTTTTAATCTTGAGTCACAAGTTGTGGTGTTTTTTTAAGTAGTCACTACTCGCCCTAAAAGAGAGGAAGTGCGGACCTTTTACAATCATACAAATATTTTACATTCTCTTGGCATGGATCATGTATTGTTTTTTTTTCATTTGTCGCTTGTTTCGTTTCGATCCACAGAGCAAAAAGAAGTTTGAGCGAGAATGTAAGGAAGCAGAGAAATCCCAAATAACCTTTGAGAGGTTAGACAATGACATCAATGCCACCAAATCAGAAGTTGAGAAGGTAATCCTCCCCGAACTATTCGAGCACGAATCAAGCTGTGTCTTCCGCATGCCGTCTTTAACGATGCAAACGTTGATCGGCATGAATATCCACTCGTTTTCACGTTTGGTCAAAGATTTAAGATTTGTTGAAGACACAAGAGGGCGCCATTCTCACGCAGCGGGCACACCTCCTCATTTCCTTTGGGCAAATCACACTTCACAGCGCCCCGACAGCGCAGGAAAAAGTCTCGGGGCGATCTTTTGGCTACATTTTGACAAGGTGGCCTTTCGTGACTTTGATCTCAAGAGACAGAAAATCAGCCCGAATGTGCATACGAGTGTATCTTCAGTAAACCTATTCTTTGGTCGTTTATTTGACGGTTGACGTTTCCCGGTCTCCATTTGACGATCGACATTTGCTCTGTATGACTGTGGCTGTTCAGGCCAAAGCGCAGTATTACCTGCGGACTCACATGGCGGACGAAAGTAAAAACGAGTACGCCGCCCAGCTGCAGAACTTCAACGCCGAGCAGTGGAAACATTTCAACAACTCCATACCGCACATCTTTAAGGTAACGGAAACCACGTTTGTCTGGCGCAAGTGTGTGACGGACACAATGACGCAAGAAAAATGAGCGCACCAAAAAACGAACCGCTCGCAGTGATGCTGAAAAGAAATGCCGCAAAACATTCTTGGGTTACGTAATTCTGAATTCCTCGACGGGAAAGGGCTCTCGCCACAGTCGGAATTAAAAGTATGCAGCATAAAATGAATCAAATATTTGAACAGCAGCAGGTGGCAGTCGTGTGCGTTGCAGACAACCGTAAAGGGGGGGGTGGGGGGGGGGTAGCGCTTCATCTCCTCTCTGCAACTGTTCTCGTCTTCCAGAATCTGCAAGATATGGATCAGCGGCGAACAGTGAAGCTCGGGGAGACGTACCGAAGCTTCGCCGAAGCAGAACGAAGAGTCATTCCTATTATCTCCAAGTGTTTGGAAGGAATGGTTTCGGCGGCCAAAGCCGTTGACGATCGACGGGTGCGTAAGAGGAAAGATGAGCAGAATGGCTGCTGATTTTCCGTCATGCCGGTTTTTAAATTTGCCCCGCGTATGCAAACTCCTTTGGCCTTCTGACAGGATTCTGGCATTGTTGTGGAGTCGTTTAAGTCTGGCTTTGACCCTCCGGGCGACTTCCCCTTTGAAGACTTCAGTCAGAACCTAAGTCGAACCGGCTCGGACGGGGCCATCAGCAGCACGCCCAAAGGAGAGCGAGACGGAGCCCCGGGGCCACGGCCGGACCCCAAACACACCATGAGCAAAGCCAAGAACAAACTCTGGCTCTTCGGGAAGAAGCCAAAGGTACGCGGATGGTCACTGGCCTCGTGTCTAGAACGCTAGCTTGATTATCTGCGACTTCGTTTCAAACTTGACGTTGTGATTTCCCAGCTGGCCCACAAGGTCCACGAAGTGCATATTGTGTTCTGTTGACATTTCTTGACAGGTTTTTGTCACTAGCGTAGATCTTTGCTACGTTCGTGGACCTTGCCCTTCTTCTTCTTCATAGGAACAATGTTGGTTAATGATTATCTCTCTGTTGCCCGTCTATGTTGGCGGCATCGGCCGCCTCGCGGGAAACGCGGTGTGAGGACTCCGTTAATGATTTCCTGTATTCCGTGACTTTTATTGTACAATTTCGTGCTCGTAGCTCATTACGATGAAAACACGGCTTTGGTTAGTTGGCTTTGGCATGTTGATGACTAATTGTTTCAAGTCACATTTCCTTATGTAGCCCTTCATACAAGACATCTTTGTTTATGTTGCGCTTTCACAAGCGCTGCAGCTGTGCTTGACAGAACAGTTAGCACAAAATACGGGAATATAACACAACACATAACACAAGACATGGACATTCATGCCATCGTCAAGTCAAGTCACATTCGGTTCTATCGCCCGCATCCACAAAAAGAGTCTCAAAGGGCTTCACATGCCCAAGGTTGACAAATATTTATGACATCCCCTGACCCCATGAGGGCAAGGGGAAAAAAAAACATCTGGGGAAAAATGAGAAGCCTTGAGAAGGGGCCGCAGCTGGGAGAGAATCCCCCCCTTCCAGTACGACCGGGCTGCAGTGGATTCCGAGCGGGCAACATTTGACACAATCTTGTCCTATCCGATGTTAGTTTAGCAATGACCAAACAATCTGCCGTTAAGCGACCTAAACATAAGGAATTTGACCCTCAAGGGTAAAATTTCTGTGACACAAAGACACACAAAAAATTAAAACTGGACTTATTGTAGCAGGACAGCATCCAGCGAATGTGCCGTCCTAACTTACGGTTTTATCCTCTCTTCCTGCCCCCCCACCCCAGTCCCCGTCTTCCTCTCCTCCTCCTCCACCTCCTTCATCCTCCTCCCGGCCACGGCCCAGCTCACAATTTTTCCCTCCCAATCGGTTCAGCTCCGATCGAGTCAACCAGTATCTGTCCGAGATAAAGACGACAGTCCCCCGAATCCCCCAGAACTTGAAGGGGCTGAGAAGAGGGGTGAGCCAGGAAGTACCGTTACGTCAATCAAGTTTCTTCCGGGCAGATCATGTTGCCTTGATGATTTCGTGTGTTTTGCTACGGGATGTCTGCAGGTCATGAAATGACTTTAGAATGATTCCAGGGATACGTCCAAATAGATTGCAGCGAAGCCAAATCTGCAGCTATCGACGTTGATCCTTTCAAAGTTGTTTTGTTTGATGACACTTGCAAACACCTTGCTCTGTTATCTTCTCCACTTTTCTTTTTACGGGGGGAGGAGGGGGGTTCTAGTTCCTGCTTTGTTGGTGTTTTTCCTCCAGTTACGAATGAGGGAGTTCTACCGCAATCACACCAGAAATGAGGTCCGATGATTTTGGGGGAGTTTTGGGTTGCAGTGCCAAAGTGGTTAACATCAGATGTGCTGTGCTGTGCTGTGCTGTTGTTGTAACACGGCTTTGGTTAGTTGGCTTTGGCATGTTGATGACTAATTGTTTCAAGTCACATTTCCTTATGTAGCCCTTCATACAAGACATCTTTGTTTATGTTGCGCTTTCACAAGCGCTGCAGCTGTGCTTGACAGAACAGTTAGCACAAAATACGGGAATATAACACAACACATAACACAAGACATGGACATTCATGCCATCGTCAAGTCAAGTCACATTCGGTTCTATCGCCCGCATCCACAAAAAGAGTCTCAAAGGGCTTCACATGCCCAAGGTTGACAAATATTTATGACATCCCCTGACCCCATGAGGGCAAGGGGAAAAAAAAACATCTGGGGAAAAATGAGAAGCCTTGAGAAGGGGCCGCAGCTGGGAGAGAATCCCCCCCTTCCAGTACGACCGGGCTGCAGTGGATTCCGAGCGGGCAACATTTGACACAATCTTGTCCTATCCGATGTTAGTTTAGCAATGACCAAACAATCTGCCGTTAAGCGACCTAAACATAAGGAATTTGACCCTCAAGGGTAAAATTTCTGTGACACAAAGACACACAAAAAATTAAAACTGGACTTATTGTAGCAGGACAGCATCCAGCGAATGTGCCGTCCTAACTTACGGTTTTATCCTCTCTTCCTGCCCCCCCACCCCAGTCCCCGTCTTCCTCTCCTCCTCCTCCACCTCCTTCATCCTCCTCCCGGCCACGGCCCAGCTCACAATTTTTCCCTCCCAATCGGTTCAGCTCCGATCGAGTCAACCAGTATCTGTCCGAGATAAAGACGACAGTCCCCCGAATCCCCCAGAACTTGAAGGGGCTGAGAAGAGGGGTGAGCCAGGAAGTACCGTTACGTCAATCAAGTTTCTTCCGGGCAGATCATGTTGCCTTGATGATTTCGTGTGTTTTGCTACGGGATGTCTGCAGGTCATGAAATGACTTTAGAATGATTCCAGGGATACGTCCAAATAGATTGCAGCGAAGCCAAATCTGCAGCTATCGACGTTGATCCTTTCAAAGTTGTTTTGTTTGATGACACTTGCAAACACCTTGCTCTGTTATCTTCTCCACTTTTCTTTTTACGGGGGGAGGAGGGGGGTTCTAGTTCCTGCTTTGTTGGTGTTTTTCCTCCAGTTACGAATGAGGGAGTTCTACCGCAATCACACCAGAAATGAGGTCCGATGATTTTGGGGGAGTTTTGGGTTGCAGTGCCAAAGTGGTTAACATCAGATGTGCTGTGCTGTGCTGTGCTGTTGTTGTTTTTTTTTTTTTTGCCGTTTGTGTGGTTGACTTCTTTCCATTGAGAGTCCCCTTTCAAATGTGCCGTAAGACAAACAAGACAACAAAAGCCTTGTTTGGTTTTTACTCCTGTCATTTGTGTCAAGTGGCTCTCAGTTGAACAGCTGAAAATGAATGACTCATATCTCAGGTCGTCAAATTTTGCAGCGCAATGTCAGAACATTTTTCAGTCATTGGGCTTCCTCCCCTAGACTCATATTAACGTTTTAGAATATTGTGCAGACTCAACATATTCATCCGAATTAGTGAACCCAGAACAAAACGTCAATTAATTTAGGACGGTGGGGGTGGATGAACTTTTTTTCGTTTGAGGGCTGCATGCCAAAAAAAAAAAATGGAAGGATTGAAGGGGCCACTTTACAATTTGTCAACTTTTTGAAACGCGCTAAAGTCAAGTCAGTAGGGCACCCCCGATTTCGCACCACCAACGCGAATCAAAAAGCCATGAGCAAAATCAAAGCGTCGCTCGTGAGCTATCAGTCATCATGCATCTGGCTGGCTGCTTTTGGACTCACCAACTATTTGGCATCGTCATCCCACTAACCCGCACTCTCATGTTGTCTGCTTGCTTTTCTGGAATCGCTCGTGTGTAAACGCCCCAGTGGTCTGTCAAGATGGTAAGTGGTCGGCCATCCAGAGAAGATGCTGCCGGCTTAGTTGCAATGCATGTACCCTCCCAGTTGTATCCACCAAATTGCCCCGTAGTCAAATCACCCCCTCAAGTCCCATTTGAGAGACTTTGCACCTTCTGCCGCTCATCGTTTTCTTCCGTAGATGAAACCCCGTTGAACCCACAAAAATATTTTCTTGAGTATTCCTGCGAGGGTCATGTGGGTCCTGTTTGAGAAGGAAGTGCAACATTCGTGTGTGTGCGTGTGTGAGAATGAAGTGTAGCAGTTGACATTTTGCCGTGCTTGAACTTGCCTCCAGGCTCCATCGGTGGAGGACTACAGCCACTTGCCCCCCGAGCAGAGGAGGAAGCGGCTGCAGCAGAAAATTGATGAGCTCAACAACAAGCTCCAAATCGAGATGGATCAGAGGTACGCAAAAAGGCAAAATAGTGAAAGAGAACTGATGCGCTGTCCTCTCCTCGTTATTAGTCTGTGACGTCTCCCCCTGTGACTTTGCTTCTGCTAGGGATGCCCTGAACAAAATGAAAGACGTGTATGAGAAAACTCCACACATGGGTGACCCCAACAGCCTGCAGCCCAAAATATCCGAGACCATTTGCAACATGGAAAAGCTCCGCTCCGAAATCCACAAACATGAGGTCAGAAAAGAATCTTTTTTTTTTTTTCCTCCAGAAAAGAACAATATGTGTAAGCTCACCTTGACGGGAGAACGGGGAGCAGGAGGTGGATTGTTTGATCAGCTCGATGGCGCCGTCTTGTGGCCGAAAATGCAAAGACGTCGAATTTGAGGAAGGATCATCTCGATGGCGCCATCTTCTGGCCAAAAATGACATTTGAATTGAATGATCGTTCTCTTGTACTGACTTGAATCCCCTCACAGGCTTGGTTGTCAGAGGTGGAGGGAAAGCAGGGCTCCAGAGACCGGAGGCACAGTGCCGACAACCACCATCCCGCTCCCCAAGGCAGAGAGAGGTAACGCGTCCGCGAAACTCGCTCGGCCCTTTCGATGAATTTGTACCCAAACGGCAAAGCCGCCAAAGAGAAATATTTGTCTCGTTGCAGTCCGGAAGGCAGTTACACCGAAGACGCCGGTCAGGAGCACCACACACCTCATCACCACTCGGGCCCCCCGCAACCGGGACACCCCAGCACCGACCCGCACGACTTCGATGACGAATTTGACGACGACGACCCGCTACCCGTCATCGGACACTGCAAAGCTTTGTACTCTTTTGACGGTAAGGTCAAATACGTCATCTGCTGGCTCGAGCTTGAGCACGAAGACCATTTTTCACATTTCTGAGACCAAATCACGAGTTGGGCATGTGCATTTAACGTGCATCTTTCCTGGTTTGGTAGGCGTGTGTTTATTCGTTCATTTTTCTTCCCTTTCAGGTCAGAATGAGGGAACCCTGGTCATAGCTGAAGACGAGGTGATTAGGATCATTTTCTCTCATTTACAATTCATTCTTGGTTATGTGGAGCAACTTTCGGGACCACCCTTTGTTTCTTGTGAGGTGTAGTGTAGCATATCGCATTTTAGCCTAAACACAAATCATTTTTTTAAAAAAAAAAGCTCATCTCAACCCATGAAAAGGGGACCTAGTATCACATTGATCGAGGATTTATTAACTTATCTATTGCGGAAACGTGTGAGGGTAGCTGAAGACCGCCGCCTTTGTCTACATGTGCCCTACGATTGGCTGTAATGGATCGAATTAGAACGTGAGGGGACCTCATTTTGTTGCAGTAATTTCAACTATTAGACACCACCGTAGACTACAAACTGCAAGTGGGTCATTCGTTGATTTTGTTGCAGTAATTTCAACTATTAGACACCACCGCGGACTACAAACTGCAAGTGGGTCATTCCGCATCCGTCCGGTTGTTGGGTTCTCGTCTGCGGTCGGACAAAGTAGCTCCCCAGCAGCTTCTTTCAGCCTGTCACTCCCCCCCTTGCAGGTTTTGTACATCATCGAAGAAGATAAAGGCGACGGCTGGACGAGGGCGAGGAAACAGAGCGGCGAAGAGGGCTACGTCCCCACCACCTATGTGGAGATCACCATGGAGAAGAACTGCAAAGGTGCCGTCACCTATATCTGAAGCGCATTTTGTCCCCCTCAAGCCTTTTTCACCGTCGCGCACGCTCGCGTTCCAAATGTGTCGACCCGGAGCGAAGGCGGCAAGTGTCCGTTCATCTGCCTGCGTTCTTCTATTTTGGCTTCCTTGCCACGTCTCATCCATCTCTTCCATTCACTTTGTAAGCTCTCATCCACCGCCGTTGTAGCCGCAGTGGTGAGTGACTTTCTCTTTGTTTTTGAGAGACTCGCATCATTTTATGGACCTGGCTACAGTATCTGCACGTGAGAAACTGCGTGCGTGCTTCTTATCGTTCCAAGTGTTCAAGATGTTCAAGTTGTCTTAAATGAGAAGTGATCGACGTTTTGTTTCCGCAATTTGCTTTGTCCTGTTGACATTTTCGAAAGGGGTATTCCGTTGAGACGCCACCATTTTTAGCCTCTCTGAATCCGCCACCTGATTTTGGCGAGAGTGTTTGCGCGCGCGGGCGGTTTTTGCTCCATCTGCGCCATCGCGGCCGATTTCGTTCAATTGCAGTTTTGCGATCGCACGGACGTTTTCATTTGTTGGAGGCGTGTGACACTAATTCATTGACAGAGTTGCTCGCTGAGCTGATAAATGTTAATGTAGTGTGTCATAAGTCACTTGGATATTTTTACTGTGCTCTACATTTCAGGAAAAAAAAAATCCTTTACACCTAAAATCAAATGAGTCCTTCCCTCTCCTTTTTGTCATCCGTAAACTCTCACCCGTCCCTTCATGTCCATCGACAACAGATGCTCTAAAACGGGGATGTCCAAACTACGGGCTGGCGGCCATTTGCGGCCCGCCATCCATTTTTCAGCGGACCTGCGACATGACAAAAATAAATAAATGAGCCCGCAAGGTTGGTTGAAAAAGTTGAAGAGTGAGAAGGGAGGTTGTCAGAAAAATACGACTCCAGTCCAACCTCGTTACAACCCACCTACAGGGACATAACGAGTCTGTACGTTATAACGGTAGTTGGTTGTAAACATTTCCAATCAATTTTACAGTGGCCCTTCCATCCTTCCGTTTTTCTGTGGGCGGCCCTCCAACAAAAAAGTTTGGACACCCTTGCTCTCAAATACGTCAGGGGTGCAAACAAACGATCTTGCTTCCCGATTAAAAACAAAAAGTGTCTGCAACGTTGTGTTTGTGTCTCGGCTCGTCCGGTTTTGTTTCGTTAACCGAGTCTCTCCTCTGTATGACTGTGCAGGTTCCTGAGGGCTGCAGAGTGGCCAGGTGGTTTGATTGGCTGGTGGAGGGCTCTCGCTGACGGCTGGCTGATTTTTGGTGGTGGGGGTGAAATGAGAGAGGGAAAGAGAAGGGCAAGTTTGCATGTCGGCATGCTCTCACATCCATAACGGCTGCGGCCTTCTTGGCTTTTAACCGAACAAAAGATTTTAATTGCAAGATGGGAGTCACAGTAAATTTCATGTCTTCAATGATGCTCGCAACAGCACGCACAGGTGCTACTCCATAACAAAGATGTACTTTCACTGGCCACTAGGGGGCCCACGTCAGGTCCCCCTCTCAGCACTAAAACTTCAAACTGACAGCAAAGGGAACATGCTCAAAGTTTCACGTTCAGCTTTTCTCTCATTGGTTTCAAGCAAAAGTCGACAAGCCGTGTGGCTAAATCACTCCTAAATGTCAGTATTATTTTACAGACTGTGAGCCTAAAACACGCCATCAGCTTGCACCCTTCGGCTGTCTTCGGTTGCCGTTTTAAACTCATTCTCATGACTTGGCTGTAGACATTTTTTTTTCATTATTTAAACGGGGTTTGCTAGTGCAGCATTACCCCTATTCTGGATAAAAATAAGATTAATATATTGCGGGTTTAGTAAAAAAAAAATGACTACGGAACCCCTAAAGGGACATGAATGGAAAAAAAAAATGTCAGATGAATGCACATATTACCTGGTGTGCATTTGTCAGTTTCTGGTGCGCACACGTTATCTGCTGTGTAGTTTTTGACATTCGGTGCACACGTTTTAGTAGCTGGTGCACATGTGTTCGGATCTGGTACACGCGCGATAGTATGCGGGGCGCATGCTTTAGTTTCTGGTGCGTGCACATTCGTATCTCATGTGTACACTTTAGTATCTGGGGCACGCATGTTAGCATCCGGTGCACATGTTTTGGTATTGGGTGTTCACTCCGTAGTATCCGTAGCGCACACATTAGTCACCGGCGCGCGCGTCTTCGTGTCTGATGTGCCCGCTTGGCTATCTGCAGCGTGCAGGTATTTGGTGCGCGCGTGTTAGCATCTGGTGTATCCGCTGGACATGCATTCGTAACTGACGGACCACAGTAGTGTCTGATGTGCAGGCTTTGGTATCTGGTGGGTGAACTTTAATATCTCGTGCAGACACGTTAGTATCTGGTCCACACGTGTCTCATGCGTGTGAGTATTTTTTTCTTGCGCTCACAAGGTCACTTTTTTCCATGTCTCTTTTGGGGTTCTGCAGATTTCAGTATTTGCTGCCACTAACTGTCAGCGCCGCACTGTTTTTAACTCATCCCTTCTCTCGTCATCTGTTGGTGATGCCTGCCTGCCTGCCCGCCCGCCTGCCTGCCTGCGCCACTCTGCTCCTCATGTCCGCCTTCACGTGTCATCCACATGAAGTTGCATGTTCCCTAACACGTCCTAAATGTCTCCCACACGTGGTCCATTGTTCCGTCTGTGTCGTGAAATGTGCGCGCCAGCGAATCTGCTCATGTGGCCGCAGCGGTACGTCGAATGAATGCCTTATTGTCATGAAATGTTTCCGGCATGACTTGTAAGTTATGCGTTCGCATCCCCCAAATAGTCATTGGGTCACGTCAGGGTTTCCGTTCAAGCAGGACGATCTTCTTCTACTACCACCACCACCACCACCACCACCCTCCTCCTCTCTCCATTGTCCTCTTTTACTTCTCTTCCCCGGGGCGGCGACTTGACATTTTAACCAGCAGGTGGCAGACTTTCTTCATCAAACTCGAAGCAGGACTGCTCCTTGTTGAACAACAGCAAAAAAAAAAAAAAAAGGAGCTCCAGATTCTTTCTTCTCAGGTGTCTGCCCGTCTAGCTGACCGCATGTCCCGTCAGCCCCTTGTCAGCTCCTAGCTCGCATCTGGCGAGACCCTTGGCCCAATATTCATCGCCCTGTCATCCTTTTCTATTTTGAGATGTGACGATACACACGCATCCCTGTCGCATCCACGCGTTTTTACGGAAGAACCAACAGCAATTGTTTTTAAGCCTCCCCGCCAAGTGTGGTGTACACACGCACGTGGCACGTGCGCGCTGTTAGTTTATATTGAATGACTTGTAGATATTCGCATCTTTTTAATGTCCTGTTTGAATGTGTTTCTGTGGTGATTGTTTGTCGGTTTTTGACTGACCGATTATTGATTGATTGATTGATTGACACTCTTCGGAAGACAATATGGTTTGAAATAGAACCGATGCACTTTGCCCCGAAGTACTCCAGCATTTGAATTTGATCAAATGAAAGCAGTGCAGAACATGCTGAATGACCACCGTGTCGCAATGCACATGAAAAAGCTCTGCTGATTATTATTATTATTATTATTATTATTATTATTTTTAGCTCCTTGGGTTTTTCTACTCCTTTTGTAACGACTGTCTTAAATAGCTTTTGCATGATTTTACTCCATCTTTTGAATCCATTCCTCGCGATTGTTTCAAAACGTCTCTGATGTTTCCTAACCACGTAACCGTGTATGTTCAGTCGGCGAATTCACAAGAGTTCCCGTTTTAGGACAAACTAACAGTGTTGCTCAAAGGTAATCATAAGATGTGACCACGCCTTAATCTTGTATTTTTGTTTATTTATGAAGCTGTGAAATGTGCAGAATGATGTTGTCGATACTACTTAAACATCCCTCAACCCCGTTCATCTACGTGGCCGCATCTTTCCGAGACTGTTGAAGTTTAAAAGCTAGGGTGCAAAATGTCTATTTTCTTATAGCATCCCCAAATTAAGTTGAAGCCACAATGCAGATGAAGCCATAATGAGACCCCTCCCACTCTGGTAACACTCACATCTGCCAACGTGTGTCATTATGTTGAGAAAAAAAAAAGAAAAAGAAATAAAGCTGGAGACAGAGGGGCCTCATCACGCCATTAATCAATTAAGGAACATTTTTAAGACGACTGTGCCCATTCATATATTTGTTTATGCTGTAGAACACTGAACGTTAATTGCCCTTCAGTCTTCCAATTGTGAATGTTGATGTACAAAATGTAAAAAAAAAAATAAAATAAAAAAAAAAGTAATCCAAAGAGACTCTCTTAAAATCACTTTTAATTGAACGTTAGGAACATTTTATAATTATCCTTTCAGTATGTTAGATTTTTTTTTTTTTTTTTTTTTTTTAATGTGGGAATTTTGCAATCACAAATTGTGGAAATTGTTTTTTTTTTAAATTTTGATAAATGAAACTATTTTCTAAATTCAGTACTGGACACAGAACTTTCGTTCTATTATATCCTCAGATGATGCAGTCGTTGGCAAATTTCTGTTTTTGAAACCTGCGCAAAAGTGGAATTATTGAGTTTTTTTATTGTGGGTTTTAGTCCCCGTCTCCTACTCGGTCAACCTCCTAATTCCACATCACGTATATGTGTGTGTAGATGACAAACTGTAATGGTACGTGCACACCAAATCCGTTGCGAGCGTTTGCCCGCGGGAGTTCCGGGTGACGCTGGAGCTTTTTCGCGCTCGCCGGAGAAGAAGGGGAGGGGCTTCGCTTGTTTGACAACGACGGTTGTAGCAACCATTTTACCGCCACGGAGGATGAAGTGGTTCATTGTTTAGTTCCGGCTAATGCTAGCCTTGGTACAGTTCAACAGTTGTAAAAAAATATATATAATTATAATCATGATCATGATAAAATACATATCAAGACTGCTCACTTTTATTTTAGTATTGGTATTGGTAGCTGGCCGAATTGTAGAGGCTGGGGTGTCCGTTGACCGCAAAAATAATCATCGTCGCGGTTACAAACCCCGCGCGAGCTACGTGGATTTCAATTGAATCGCACTCGCGAAGGATTTGGTGCGCACGTAGCGTAAGAGTCGCTGTTGGAGTATTGTGTTGGATGTAAAACTACAGACCAGGTTTACGAAAACGTTTTGTGAATTCAACCAAACTGTACTACTTAGTCAAGTGCTGCAACCGCGCGGTAAAGACATTCACAATGTTCTCAACGTTGCTTTTGTTTGAAGTGGAGTCATCCTGTTTGTCCTGCAGATGTAAAAAATAAAATAAAATAATCGTGTACAAAGAAGTGTTCACTAACTGTCAACGTTTTGATGAAATCAGCCTAAAAAAGTAAAGCCTCAGTTCTAAAACCACGTCGGTACACTACAAGAAGTTTTGTGCAGGTTGTCATGCTCTGTGTTGTAATAAACCGATGGCAGTACTTTTCCCAGGCCCATATTCTTATGCACATGTGTTTTGTTTAGTTTTTTTCACTTTGAATGTTGTCAGACACTTTGTGGACTAAATGCCTTTTTTTTTCCAACTTGTAGAATATCGCTGAAATAAAGTGAGCAGTTTACGAAAACGTTTTGTGAATTCAACCAAACTGTACTACTTAGTCAAGTGCTGCAACCGCGCGGTAAAGACATTCACAATGTTCTCAACGTTGCTTTTGTTTGAAGTGGAGTCATCCTGTTTGTCCTGCAGATGTAAAAAATAAAATAAAATAATCGTGTACAAAGAAGTGTTCACTAACTGTCAACGTTTTGATGAAATCAGCCTAAAAAAGTAAAGCCTCAGTTCTAAAACCACGTCGGTACACTACAAAAAGTTTTGTGCAGGTTGTCATGCTCTGTGTTGTAATCAACCGATGGCAGTACTTTTCCCAGGCCCATATTCTTATGCACATGTGTTTTGTTTAGTTTTTTTCACTTTGAATGTTGTCAGACACTTTGTGGACTAAATGCCTTTTTTTTT